GAACGTGGATCTAGGCCAGGTAATCATGCAGTTTAGGGTCCCAAATTATTTCGCACTTTCCCAGTGTTCAGTGTACTGTCACACGCGTTTTCAGTGTACTTTCACATCATGAACTTTATTTTCATGAAAACATGTGTACTTTCACTATGCTTCTTCTTTTCTCGTGTCAAAGTTTTGTTTCCTTTGTCAAAGTTTTGTCTCCTTTATGGAAGTTTTTCTTTGACTTTGTGGTAATGGCTGGGCGTCCCGGAGCGCCGATACGCATTGTCCCTCAGGCACACATTCTAAATGATCATGCGATTTTGATGGAGAAGTGGACGGTGTTCACACTACATGTAGTGCCGATCTTTTCCAGAACCCAACTTGGTCAACTGGAGTTCCTTGCCGCTCGGCGCTGTATCAGCAACGAAATGCCTTGTGCCAAGTGTGGGGCGCTATGTGGCCTCACTAGACGGCAGGAGAGCAGCGACGGGTTTCGCTGGAGATGCCGACTGTATGTCCGGAGCGTTCGCGGTGGTTCTTTTTTTCCCTGAAGCGCAACTTCGGCACATCGCGAGAGTTGTTCCCGACGTAACTCTGCGAGTTCGTGTGGAGACAGAGAGTTCGCGCGGAAGACAACACGTTCGGCTCCCTGCTCCGCAGTGTTCACCAGCAGTACCCAGTCTGATCTGTCCTCGGTTTTCATGAAAATATAGTTTATGATGTGAAAGTACACTGAAAACGCGTGTGACAGTACACTGAACACTGGGAAAGTGCGAAATAATTTGGGACCCTAAACTGCATGATTACCCTAGGCCAGTTGTGAGTAAGCTGGCCGGCTGGGGAACGGCGAACGGGATATCGTCCTGCTCCGCACGAGCATTGCCGGAACGATCCGCACGGGCATTGCCGGAACGATCGGCCGCATGGTCCGCAGGGGCTCGATTTGGAGTGTCGGCATACGGGGACGACGAGGCGCGCCTGCGACTGGAACGCCTGGGCCCGGGAGCCGACTGCTTACGTGCACGGGGCATCTCCGTGAGCTGTGGTAAACCTTGAGATTGAGGTTGAGAAAGAAATCCACTGCCAATGCGGACAAAGCAAGAACTGAAGTCAGGAACAGTGGACTTCGGAGAACAATGAGCGTGTGAGAGTTTGTTGGGAACAGAGCATGCGCCTTCTGTGTTAACATATTTTTGCGCGTGCGCAAAAAATCATTTTATTTTTGCTTTGTTTTTGTTTACTGCCATGGCTGGCTACCGCCCCCCTCCCTCCATATTGGCCTATATTCTCTGGCCACGGGAAGGTGAAATAAATAGAAAATAAATAAATGCTGTATTTGTTAACTAGGACAAACCTGTTTACGTTATGCTGTATTTGTTCACTAGGACAAACATTTTTACGTTATGCTGTATTTGTTTACTAGGACAAACCCTTTTACGTTATGCTGTATTTGTTTACTAGGACAAACCTTTTTACGTTATGCTGTATTTGTTCACTAGGACAAACCTTTTTCCGTTATGCTGTATTTGTTTACTAGGACAAACCTTTTTACGTTATGCTGTATTTGTTTACTAGAACAAACCTTTTTACGTTAAGCTGTATTTGTCCACTAGGACAAACCTTTTTACGTTATGCTGTATTTGTTTACTAGGACAAACCTTTTTACGTTATGCTGTATTTGTTTACTAGGACAAACCTTTTTACGTTCTTAAAGGACAAGCGGCAGCTTTCAGCTTGTTTATCAATAAACTAATTACACATCCCCCAAACGCGCTCTCCACCAAAAGCCTTGGATTCGTGTTGCTGGTGTGTGAGGTTGGCCGGAGAGCGTGTTTGGTGGAGGTGGAATTACTTTAGCCCTCTTTACTGGCAAAAAAATATTACAGGTTGATTTTCACGCACATTCACATGCCAGACGAAAAGACAGCAACAACAACAGCAACAGCCCTCCAAGTCCAAGGTTCCAACACACCATTGCATGCTTACACATACAGTAGATCTGCTCACGCGAGAACACCCGAATGTACAGTCTGTTGCTGAGTACTACACCAAACCACACACAAGACGTACCACACCCAAGACCACACTCAAGCAACTCACTACGAGTACAGTGTCTGCATTGTCATTGTCAAGTTGCTCAGAGCCGCCATGTCATTATGGTGACATGTTTTTAGCAACAACCAATTATAAAATAGAATTTTACGACAATCAGATTGACAACACCGACACCACCCTGGTCTGTATGGGACTGTGCCCTAAGACATGATGTCATCAGCTCTTTGTCCATATTTGATGAGAAGAGCGTAGCATTGAATCGTGATTGGTTGCAGGTAGTGTGGTTATGTGGTAATGGGGTAGGTCCCTCATTATGTAATGTGATTCTTGTCACCAATGTAAAAAACACATTTTATCTTAATAATCTTTATTTCAGGATTACCCAAAGGCTAACGCCTATCTGGGGGATCTCCTATTTGTGTATGTACTAGTAACATAGTTATGGATGCGGGAGAAAGTGTGCAAAGTGAGTGTGAAATGTTGGTTTTAAAAAGGAATAATAAGAAACACAAGGAAAGAAAGTAAGACAGAAAAGAAAAGAACAAGCATGTAAATCAATGATTGCACATCAAAGGTGTACCAGTGCAGTCGAACTGATACTTAGCAATGTGAATACGTAAATGACGCTTGAATTCAGATAGGGAATCTAAAGTTGTCAATCGGGGTGGAAGACAATTCCAAAGAGAACCAGTTTTCTGTAGGAAAAGGGATGAAAAAATGCGACCATGTGAGTTAAAAACGAGCTTTTTGGGCCTACGGGCACTACGTGATATGGTTATCGCAAAGCGAGAGAGATATTCTGGGTGAAAATTGATGTACTTAAATAAAACCACAAGAGAAATAAAGATACGGCGAAATTGCAGAGATTCTAAGCGACACAATTTATTCAAATTGGATTTTGATTCATAGATATCAAAGGTTATTTTTGCAGACTTCAGGAGTCGCCGGCAAACCTTAGCTTGGAGTACATCAAGGGACTCTAACTGAGCGGATGTGATCCTAAACGACCAGACAGGAATGGCATATTCAATTGCCGGACGCACATAAGACTTATACAAGAGGAGAATATGGGACGATGGTAAATGTCTGCCCATGAAACATAACAGGTTGACTCGTTGCTGAAACTTCCTGAAGATGGTGTGGAAGTGGTCATGGAACTTCAAACCATCACTGAGCTGTACGCCGAGATGCTTAGCAGAACGTCCAAAGGCAATAGGAACGCCGTCCATTAAAACAGAGGAGGAGTCAGGAATGTCATGATTCGAAAAGATGAAAGTTTTTTCTGGAGAAAATTTCCCATGGATATTCTGAGCCCAATTCTGGCAGCTGGCCAGATCCTGCTGGAGGTGGGACATGTTCTCATCTAAGGAGAGGGATACATTATGAGCATTTGGAAGAGTGACATCATCAGCAAAGAGAAAGGGTGAGGTGTGGTTTACTATGTCAGGCAGGGAATTGATGTACAAAAGAAAAAGCGGAGGGGCAAGGTACGAACCCTGGGGAACACCACAGTTTAGCATATATGGAGAAGAGTGAGTTCCATCCAGCTTCACATTTAGACTACGGTCAAGCAAGTAGGACCCAAACCAGGCGTGTGCCTCTGGTGCCATGAATGCATTCATGTGGCGCAGGAGCGTAGGATGATGTACTTTATCAAACGCTTTCTGGAAGTCGAGAAATGCACAGTCAAATCTCTGGCCTCTATCAGAGAGACGGGCAATCTGATGGGTCAAAAGAATGAGTTGATCAGTAGCTGATCGTTGTGGAACGTAAGCAAATTGACTGGGCGAAATTATGCAATTACGGTAAAGAAAGCTGTTCAGCTGATGGGCTATGCGGGATTCGAAGAGGCGGCTGATGGGATGGAGCAGTGAAATTGGACGGTAGTTCGTGGGCAAAGAAGCACTTCCTTTACCTTTGAAAAGAGGAATAACCGTTGCTGATTTCCATGCAGTGGGAAATTGTGATGTGGATACACTGGAGTTGAACAAGTAAGACAAGGACTCGCATACTAAATCAGCCATAGCCCGGAGTACTGGAATAATATAATTACTTGAAGTCGATTTTCGAGACGAAAGATGTGTAAGGTCATAGTGGACTTGACCTGGTGAAAATGTTGGCATCTGGAACCGAGGAGTGGTAGTGTCAAGGGAGGAATCTAAACAAGGGAATTGATTTGCTTCTTGTGGTAACGTACACTGATTGGCGAAATGCTGTGCAAGAAGGTTCACCTTTTCCAATTGCGTGTTAGTCCGACGATCGCCATCTTGCAAATCTGGTATCAATGGTTTACGAGTTGAAATGTTGCAAAAGTCCTTAACTCTCCTCCACCACACATATCCACCTTTCGTGCAACCCTTCGAGATACTGGCAGCGTTGCGATCAAGAAAGGCAGATCTGGCAGCACGGATTTTCTTACGATAAATATTCCTGGATACACAGTACGCTGCCTTTGCTTCAGTTGATTGTGGATTTCGCAAATAAGCATGGTACAGTCTATTCTGTCGCCGCTGAAATTGACGCAGGTCAGGTGTATACCATGTCTGATTTCGCTGATCACGCTTACGCACCCAGGTTGATGACCTTTCAACTAAATCTAGGAAATGGGATTCCCATGCTTTCCAAGAAGCATCAACAGTTTCACATCCATAGAGGCGCTCAAGGAATGGTATGGTCTCGGTCTGTGCAGAGCGCGACGACATCGTGCAGACGTGTAGCATATCACGTGACAACACAATGACACACGCACACACGCAATGCCAATGCTGCGAACAAAAGATGCCTGAGTTCGCGCTAAGGCACACAGCCACAAAGCTAAAGCAGTATCAGTAATGTATGAGTAGATGGCCGTCCGTGGTCTGCCAGACAGTGAGCATTACCGGCCATTTACCACATGCATGTGATGCACGATTCGTTCAAACATTAGATCACATCGCTATTATTAATGGTCAGCACAGCTCAGTCATCCATTTCTCAAGGCACAGTCCAGTTGTCCGTTTTCGTCTCCCTGCCTTTCTCTTTTGTTTCAAACGTCTTCTAGTGTTGTTGAACAGTCCCTCTGACCTACCTTTGTTAGACGTGCATTATCTTTTCCAGTCATTGTTACTCTTTCTCTCAACTACTAATCAGTCTGTAGTGGCTACAACGCTCTCTCAGAGAGTAACAAGTTCAGCACAACGCTCTCTCAATGAATAACAAGTTCAGCACAACGCTCTCTCAGTGAATAACAAGTTCAGCATAACGCTCTCTCAGTGAACAACAAGTTCAGCATAACGCTCTCCTTCTCTCAACGGCCTACTTATTCCAGTCAGCCCACTCAGCCAACGTTTGAAGAAGATCTTTAAAGGAACGGACAACTCACTCAGTAAGTAAAAATACAATCATGTGCTATAGGTCTATTTGAAACCCCCCCCCCCCCCCCCCTACAGCATTAGTATCACTGATATAGCACATTGTGACTATGCCTACTCCAGAGCTAGGTCATCAGGCTGAGTGACACGGTTGAGAGCTAGCGTGTGTGCTCATGCTTGGTAGAAATGCGCCAGGTGCTGCACTAACTGACCTGGTTGACATAATGGGTGTATTTGCTAACGTTAGCGACTGGATCATTCGATTCACTCCCTGACCCTGTTCTCGCACTGAGTCCTACATCTTATCGGTCTAGTTAGCAACTGTGGATCGTTCAGTAGCGGTTCATGACCTGTAGATCAAAGTCCAAAGTTCAAACAGTGAGTTACTCCTTCGCTGCACCATTCCGTCAAGCAGCTGAATACCTTCTTGCAGGTGTAGGCCCTCCGGACTTCCACGTCAAGTTTCTTCTTTTCTCTTCACTGCTACTTGAAGACAACGTTCAACAAAACGGCAAGGATGACTTTCTTCAATTCAGCTCTTTCCTTTAGACTCACTAACTGTAGCCGTGTTCATCTATGAGA